GCGCATGGAGTACTCCTGGCAACAGGAATTAATTTATAAAAGAGTATGTGACCCAATTTGGGCGAAGGAGATGTAGAGAGAAACAAAGAAAGACAGTCTTCCTTTTTTTTGCTTTCTATTTCACTGATAAAGTAGAAACAAAAGTCTTTCTCAATCTTCTGCCACCATATATAGCCATTTATGGCATCTGTGCCCATATTCTGCCTTTTTCTTTGATACTAAGGACGAACTGTCGGTGATGGTTTTTTAGATCTCATCCTTCTCACCTTCTTAAGGACACATTGCCCTAGCCATTCTCCCCTCTATTTCCTGCATCATGAATTTTCCCCTCTCTATCAGATTCTCCTCATCAGCATAAAAATATACTTTTATTTTTCTCATCAAATGTACTGTACAAGTGATAGTGATACTGCTGCTATTCGAAGCTAGATCTCACTGTCTGAGACGCGGAGTGATTGCCTCCTCAAATGCTTACCTAGGGCTGGGCTATACACTGCTCTGTGTTCCCAAAGCACCCTGTTTGCACTGCCCTTGGAACACTCATAACATTGTGTTGACATTATCTATTTATGAATATATCTTGTCTACTAGACCACAAACACTCCACATTTAGAGCAGGTCTAATTCATTCTGGTAATCTCTACATGGTATGGTACCTGGCACGTAGAAAACATTCCCCTGCCTATAGGAGCCAGGTCCTTAACTGAGTAAAGCCGGATAGATAGAAATTAACAATAGGAATGGTGGTAATACCATGTGGCAGCAACTATGCAACTATGCCATGTGAAAAAATAGGCAGGGAACTTTATGCCATCTCATTTTACAAAGAAGCTGTCTATTAGTTTTGTATTGCTGTTATAACACATTATTACAAATTTAGTAGCTTAAAATAATACAAATTTATTATTTTACAGGTCTGCAGTTGTAAATCTGGCATGGGTCTCACTGGCCTCAAACCAAGGTCTTAGCAGGTCTGCATTCTTTTCCTAGGCTCTGTGGGAGAATCTATTTCCCTACCCTCTTCGCCTTCTAGCAGCTCCCTTCTCCTTCATCTTCAAAGCCAGCGATGGCTGGTTGAGTCCTTCTCACATGGTATCAGTGCAATCTTTTGTCTCCCTTTTGTACTTTTAGGAACTCCTGTGATTACATTAGCTCCACCCACATAACCCAGCTAAACCTCCCTATTTCAAGATCAATTGATTACCAATCTTAATTCTACCCACAACCTTACATCCATTTTGCCATGAAAGGTAGCATAGTCACTGAGTCCAGGGACCAAGACATAAATATATTTGGGGTTCAGTTATTTGTCATACCACAAGAGAAAACTATTAGGTTTTCTCTGACGTAAGGCCTTTCATTTGTTGAGTTTGCTTTTTTTCTCTCATGGTGGTAAGCTCATCTTCTATGAGAGATTTCTTCTGTAAACATCCTAGGTCTCAGAGACTATGGCAGACTTAGTTTCTCAACACCGTGGGCAGAATCTTTTGAGGGAGAAACCTGCATACTTCCAGGCTGAGATGTCCCCCTTTACAGAATCTCTACCTCCCTCACATCCTGATATAGACAGAAGGGACTATTTGCATTTCACCAATGATAAGAGGCCCTTTTAATTTTCAAGCTTAATAGGCCTTCCTTTATGACACTATAAAGCAAAAGTAGGATTGAGGCTGGATAGCAACATTACTGGGTGAAAATGAATCTGCTTGTTATTGGGCAGGGAAAATTAGTCATGTCTTTCAGATAACCTTTTAATATCCCACACCAGAGGTCTTCTCCACTTTTTTTTTGAAAAATATTACCTATGCTGTTCTCTGTGGCTGTTTTGTAGCTACTAAGTCATACTTCTTCATCCCCCCACTTCTAAATAATAGTAACAGCTGACAATTACATAGCATTTATCATGTGTCAGAAGCTGTTCTAAATACTTGACATGTATTAACTCATTTATATCTCATAACTCTTAATATCCCCATCTTGCAGATGGGTTTGCAGAAAGGTTAAATGACTTCTCTTGGATTACTCAATGTTCTATTCTGAGCAAAAACATCAAAACAAAGACAAGATATGAACAAGTAGGCAATACCAAGAGAAATTGCACAAACACCACTTAACCCAAACAGCTTTCACTTACTTATTTCCTTCAACAAGCCAAACGACCACAAGCAAGCAAGAGGAGAGAGTGGATAGAAGTCACGTATCATATGCAGAGGTATTGACTAGTGCCTCTCACTGCTTGGCTGGCACTCAACTCCCAGCCAGTAGGGCTGGTGGTCTCTGTTTGCAGAGGTCTTTGCTCCAATCCCTATGGTCAGTATATGGTAGTACAGAACCTCTCAGGCAGTCATAGGAATCAATGTTCATCATGGCTTGATGGACTTAGGTCTCAGATACTACCAGTATACCTGGATCTGTAGCAGCAGATCAATGAGAATGAGAAGTAAATGGATGGAATAAGCAAATCAAGCCTAAATGAAATATGAGACTGAGTTTATGATTGTGTAACTTACAAAGTATGTCTATATGATGCCCCTGGGGAAAAAATAAACATCACAACACAGTCTAGAAGGTGAGTGCCCTTTAAGTTGGTGACTCTTTTTTGCATCAACAATATGATGTAAGAGAGTGCTATTTGCTCACATTTTTATACCACTCAGACATGATTTTTCTGAAAACATTTTTGAAAATGGTAAGATACTATACAACCATGATCCTCAACAATAGTTGGAAGTATTAGCGAGCATTGAATCTTGAATTTTCAGATGTGGAAACAATTAAACCTGATATTTCTTTGCTTAAGATTACTGTTACATGTAAAATGGTGGATATTTATTCCCAGTCACTATCTTTTTCATAAAGGAAGTTGTGAGGAGATAGCTATCCGTAGTGGCTATGAGTTCCTATTAAAACTTTATGTATGCCACATAAGAGAACGAAACTAACACTCAATGAATGTTTATAAAATATGTAGGTCTTTTAATAATCATGACACTGTTACAGTAAGATCAGAATTTTAAAATGGCAGAGCTGAACCATATCTACCAATATTAGCCAACTAGTAATCATCAGAGATGTGATTACAGCCCAGGTTAGTTTGACTCCATACTTTTGCTTTCTTCAACGGTTATAGTTCATTCCTCATGGAATTGTGTTTAGCTGTAAAAGATTAGGTAATGATATCTGCCCTTTCATATTTAGAGCTCAGCATTAGTCCTTATAAACCTAAACCTTATAAATATTTAATGTTAAGTACTTTTACTACTTCCCAGTGGAGGAGGAAAAAGCAATTTCCAATTAATCAAATGCATTTTCAGACACAGTTTACCAGTACGGTTGTTTCAGGCAATTCACGTTTTTTTTTATCCAGCAGAAAATTTCTTATTTACTTTATACTGATAAACAGACACACTAGATGCATTTTAGATTAGGGCGAACATTACTACTTCTTCTTGTGATCTATGAGTAATTGGCCAAGAGAGGACCAGGTGAGATATTCCTTAGGCCTCCCATTCAGCTAGAAGGCTATAGTCAAGGGGGCACAAGGTGAGTTATGGACGTCTAATATATTACATTGATTCACCCCCATTCCTCAATGCTTCTCTGCACGGTGCATTAATTTAAGATTCGAAACCAGAATAATGTGTGCTGCGGACAGATTTTAGTTGCATTGATGGAGTTTTCCTATTCAGTCACACATGTCCATTTGTAAACAATGGCACACATTTACGAAATAGATGGATAATGTTAAGAGTAATCATCTGTAACCTGAGATTAGATAACAATAAATGTCATTCATAATATTAACTATGTTCCTAACTTTGTTGTATTTCAATGGTAGTCCTAAGTAATCTTACCTTTTTAATTAGATGGGAATATCAACATCACACTAATTATATTTAATAGCATGTGAAACAACAATTTATCACCTGGTTTAATATTTTGCAAAAGTAAACTTTTATTGATTATGCCATTCACTGTACATCTCTTTTGATGGCAGACAAAAAACGTAGGTATAGGCAGAGGAAAGAGAAAAAGTAGTTGCTTTAGAATGGTATCTGAGGATGAATGATGAAGAGCAGCCAGGTTCTTTAGTTTGGGACGGGGAGGGAAGAAGGGTGAAAGGAACAGGGAGGAGAGGTTCAGCTAAAAAGAATTAAAAAGAAAGGAACATATTCACATTATTTGAGTTGAGTTTAAGGTGAGAAATAAAAATACAAAGATAATAAAAAAACATAATTTTAGTAGTTAACATTTTTTGAACCATTAATTTGATTTTGCAGGGGGGAACCTGAGACAGAGTGGTTCAATAGTTTGTCCAAATTTACACAGCTGGTCAACGGCAGAGGCTGAACTCGTCCGGAAATCTGAACCACATTTTAAAATGGGGTATTAACAAAGTACAAAGAGTGAGAAAACTTATAGAGAAGGGTCATAGACACCAAGAGAATAACTGAGGAGGGGTGAGGAGAGAAGGCTGCAAGAAAAAAATTACCAATAGAATAATTATACTTATGCTTTATTAACGGACAGAGCACTTGTATATGTCAGCTCATTTAATCCCGCTAAAAGTTCCGTGAGCTAGATACTATTCCATTTTTCAGACGAGGACACTTGTTAGATGAAAAACAAAACATTCTTTTTTTGCACTGAGTTACACCTGAATAGCAGGCTCTGGGGCAAGATAAGGAAGACTGAAGGAGACTTGGCAACACAATGGAGCAGGGCAAGGTAAGCAAGCTGAAAAGGAGAAATGCAGAAAAAGGGTCCCATTTAGACAGAGGCTGGTTTCAGCTTTCAAATTTCCTCGGCGGGCCCGCCACGGCATCACAAAGCCCGCCCCTCAATCACAAGGCCACGCCCCCTTCCCTGGCTGTTCTCTGAGCTCCCAATACTTCCCTCTTTCTCTTTGACCCCTCCCACTCGTCTAGCATCATTTCCTGTGCGCTGGATGTTAATTGGTCTAGGAGTCGGAAGTGAGGGCGGGCAGTGGGGCCGTTGCCGCAGTGACAGTGCTGGGGGAGTTCGAAGATGGCGGCGTCGCGTCGCTCTCAGCATCATCACCACCATCATCAACAACAGCTCCAGCCCGCCCCAGGGGCTTCGGCGCCGCCGCCGCCACCTCCCCCACCATTAAGCCCAGGCCTGGCCCCAGGGACCACCCCAGCCTCCCCCACGGCTGGCGGCCTGGCCCCCTTCGCCTCTCCCCGGCATGGCCTAGCGCTGCCGGAGGGGGATGGCAGTCGGGATCCGCCCGACAGGCCCCGATCCCCGGACCCGGTTGACAGTACCAGCTGTTGCAATACCAGCAGCACAATCTGTACCGTCGCCGCCGTTCCCGTGGTCCCGGCAGTTTCTGCTTCATCTGCCGTTGGAATCGCTCCCAACCCAGCTGGCGGTGGCAGTAACAATTCACCATCGTCCTCTTCCCCGACTTCTTCCTCCTCTTCCTCTCCATCCTCCCCTGGATCGAGCTTGGCGGAGAGCCCCGAGGCGGCGGGAGTTAGCACCACAACAACATTAGGGCCTGGGGCAGCGGGACCTGGGCCAGGGGTCCCAGCTGTGAGCGGGGCTTTACGGGAACTGTTGGAAGCGTGTCGCAATGGAGACGTGTCCCGGGTAAAGAGACTGGTGGACGCGGCAAACGTGAATGCTAAGGACATGGCCGGCCGGAAGTCTTCTCCCCTGCACTTCGCTGCAGGTCAGAGACTTTTGAATTGTTTATTAACGGTTTTGGTGTTGGGGACGGGGGTCCGGGTAGGGAATGAAAACAAGTTATTGTGATGGAACAAAATAGGGGCGTGGTTATGGTTCTTTAACACCCCCCCGGAAGACTAGATAGAGGTTCCTTTCTTTAGATAGTGCCTGGATGAGGGGGCGTGGTAGGGGAACCTGGGAATCCATTCATTTTAGTGTTTGCACATTGATACTTGTACTCGTTCCAAAATCCTCTAAATGGAAGTCTCTGGATATGGGTATACCTAAACTTTTTCAGTTCAGAGTGCATAAGAATTAAGTTATATTTGGGCAGTTTTAAGAGTAGTTTTGTCTTTTGCTAGTTTATTTCGTTTTTACAACAAAGATATGTCCCATGAGTGATGTCTAGACCAAAAGTTGAATGTAACTCAAGTGTTTAAGGATTTTTCTTAGTCTTTTTAAGCCAGTGAAAGACATAAGTGAAGTTTGTGAAAGTTTTCCCCTTTCTCATGGAGTTTACAGTTTAATTGGGTAGATCGAAATATGCCTATATGAAACAACTGGAGAAGAATATTTGATGCATTATATGTTAGTAGAAAAAAATAGAGGCTTTGAAATTCTAGACACTGCTATTTGTTGTGTAACATTTATTTTACTTTATCTCAGTTGCCTCAGTTTTCTTGTGGCAAAAATGATACACTAAGGTTGTGTGAGGATTTACTGAGAAGCATTTGGCACATAAAGTCTACAAAAAAGTGCTAATTCCTAAACCCTAGACCGCACACTTTTGTCTTTGTCTTTTTTTAAGGCAAGTAGTTGACTATTTTCTTTTAAAAACACCTAATGTATTTTTATAAAACACAGAAATAGAAAACAAAATGAAGGACGTAATCTCACTGTCCAGATAGCTACTCTTGATGTTTTTAAAAATAAAGGTTTTAATGTTATATATGTTAGAAATGTACATGTTATGTACACATCATAAAATTCATATAGGACAAAAATATTACAAAATGAAAAAGCACCACCCAACCACAAACATCAATAACAAGCCAAGTTATCTTCTGTTAAGCTTTTGGTATGTTTCTAATATGCCTTCAGTTTGTCTCTTAATGGTAAAATATATGTAAAGAACTTAACTCTTTGTATTATTTTAAAAGTTTTTATTGAAATTGAGGTGACATTGGTTAATATAATCATAGGTTTCAAGTATACAATTCAGTAACATGTCATATGTATATTACATTGTGTGTTAACCACCCAAAGTTAAATGTTCTTCCGTCACCTTGCATTTGACCCACATTACCACAATTTGGAAGATATTATTACCCTCATTTTACAGATGACAAAAGTGAAGCACATATTCTTAAAATAAGTCCAAATTCACACAGTAAGTGGTGGAACCTGGATTTGAACTCAAAACAGTTTGATTTTAGGGATTGTGAAATCAAGCCTAAACTATTATAAGCTATACCTGGGTTAATGTCACTTGTCATTTTTGTGAGTAAATGTGATGGAGTTTCTACTTGGGGTAATGTACCCCAAGAGTAGCATTCACACATTTTTTTTTTATTGCAGCCTAATTTTAGAAACATATTTTACATTGTCACACACAGGAACTGAATCAAAAGTTTCTGGAAACAATACTTTCCTTTACTATATATGTTGTGTTCTGATATTTTATATCCTATTCCATTTCATTTTTTACAAATGCTGTTTGTGACTCATTAATGGCCCATGATCAGCGATATGTGAAACACAGGAATTCATTTTTAGATCACTGGATCCATTCTTGACAAATAGACAGTACTATTAGTATAGTGAGTTGCATCATAAACAGGATTCCATCTAAGTAGACATTTGCTCAAGGATATTGCTTATTTTAAATGAAATAGCATTTCTTTAGGCCAATGAAAGGTCTAAGACTGATACTATAAATCATGGAGGTTGTTTACTTTTGGACACTTTATTCCAAATTTGACTATTTTAATATACTGTTTCACAAATCTTGTCATTTCTCAGAATACTGCATTATAAGTAATCACAGATGATAGTTATATTTGTGTAATAATGTAGTTATTTTTAATTAGCCACATATAAAATAGAGTTTGTCTCCCAGATCACTTCCTCTGTTTATCAAAATAGTAACTTTTAATTCTGTTTTAGAGTTTTACATGTACCCAGATAAGCTAGAAGACAAACAGTAAAACAGTCCTGTAATTATATTGTAGCTATGATATCTTAATCTTGAATTGGCTTTTATAAAAAAAAAATTTTAGTTCAGTTGTGGAAAACAGACAACAAAAACAGTAAAACTCTACATGGTATAAAAAACATGACACCCTATAGTCATTTTACCATTCTTCATATTTGTGTGCATACCACCAAAGTTTTGTTAAATCTAGTGTTCATCATGCATAGGCTAAATAATTAAAAGTAATTCTCAGTTGACTGTTAGCTGGTTTGAATGCTGATCATTGAATTGTCCTGGAATAGCTGTTTTAAAGATAGGAAATTGGTACAGTTCTTTGGATGGAAAAGTTTAAAACTTCTAGTTCATTTTTCCACAATATTTAATACCGACCCAATTTTGAAATGGCAGATATCCTTACCTTTATGGAATTTACAGTCTAGTGGGGGAGACTAAACAAGAACAATAATAAAACTCCACAAAGTATGTAACCTAAAATGATAGGAGAAGTATACAGTCTGTTGGAGCAGGGACTAAGGATTCTTGTCCTGGTTTTAGAATATGAGGAAGTCTTTCTTGATAATGAGGTTTTTTAAAGCAGGAATTTAAAAGATGAGTCCAGGCTAGCCAAATAAAGATTAGAAGGAAGAATGTTAATGAATACCTTTATTTCCATTTTAGAAAGTAAGTTTATAGTTCTGTAGAATGAAAAGAAACCATTTCTAAAAATCCAAGAAATGATATGAAGTCATGTTTAAACCCTTATGACTTTTTAAAATATTACCATAAGAGTAGCCAAAATTCTTTCCAGCAGGATGATTAAGAATCCTTTTTAGCCTATTTTGGACTGTGATAATTATTTGTTTAAAATATGGCTTAGAAACAATATTAATAATGGAATCACCCTATCCATAATTAGAAACATCTTCAGTTTCCATTGTTGATACAGATTCTCAAATACTATTTCTAATGCCTTCTTAAGATGGCCATTATCAAAATGACCCAGTCTTTTATTGTTGACTAGAGTTTATGTAAGACTTTCTCTTCTACAGATAAGATCCTTGATTCTGGTTTTCTATTGTTCAAAAGGCAGCAGTCAAAGCTTTATAAATAGTATCAATTTAGAGTGATGATATCTCCTTACTTCCTTGCATACTAGTGCATATTTTTGTTAAAGGATCAGTATATTCTAATGATGTCTCTTTTTCAAAGAAAAGTTCAGTTGAGGTCTTAGAAAAAAAAGGCTTTTAACAAAGCATTGAATTCTGAGATTTCATAGTGTTTACTTTAAATGGAATACATTTTGAAATAGGCTTCTTGGTAGTTAATTAACATATGACTTGGATTAGCATATGTATTATAAGGTATTTCAGTATCAAGACCAGCAAAGTATGTATGGCAGTTTTATGCTTTTTTTGGCTTTGGATGATATCTACAACAATACACATTTAACTATATAGAGGTTGCCTGACTCATTCCTGTCTCTTCTGATTTTTCAGCGTGACCATGCTTGTCTTTGTTTTTCCTCGTCACTGTACAAATGCAGTTCCTAGTGAAAAACACTGTCCTCTAAACTGTTGCCCATCAGTGGATAAAAAAAATGAGCCAGAATGCTCAGTCTTGGAGTGGGAATTTTCATTGTCCAGCAAGGTCCTTGATTATACTTTTAACCAAATGTCCTGCCTCAGAATTTAAGAAGGATCCAACTTGGTAATGGAAGAAAAGGAACCAGATTCATAAGTATCTTCCCAGACTTGAAATTGTTAGCTATGACTTAGATTATTTTACTTAGTGTTTTCTTAAAACCTTATGCTTTGCTTAAGGTACCTTTCTAACTACAAGATCGCATAGAACTTGTAGTTAAAAAGATGTGCAAAGTGTGTCTCTTTTGCCTTAATGATATCACTCTTTGAAAGCAAATGATTTAAAGTACAAATTACCTATGTATAAGTTATTATGTAAAAGTATCTCAAAGCGAAAAATTGATGAGCAAACTTCAACATAGAGAAATGTTTACATAAATTAAAATACTGCATAACTCCTATTACATATCTATCTGCTAATGTTTTCCTTTCTTCATCAATTTATCTTTTGATACATGTTAATATAAATTGCAGGCATCTGTGCAGCTTCCCCTAACTACACAAATATACATATCATTATCTAAAGTTCAGAATTTGTTTAAATATTTGTCTTTTAATGTAAAATCTTTTAATGTGTACGTTCACTGAGTTTTGACAAATGTGAACATCTGTGTAATTCAAACCCTTAAAGAAAGTCTGCTACCTCAGAAAGTTCTCTTGTGGCCTTTCACTCAATCTCTGCTCTTCCCTCCTCCAGAGACACTGTTTTGCCATTTTTTCATTATAGATTAAGAGTTGCCTGTTTTAGAAGTTCGTATAAACGGAATCATACAATATTAACTTTTTTCTCTTGACTTCTTTTGCTCAGCCTGTTTGATATTGTATCATGCATGCATCAGTAGTTCCTTTTGACTGCTGAATAGCATTTCATTATATGAATATTCAGCAGTTGGTTTATCCCTTCTATTGTTAGACCCTTAGGCTATTTCTGTTTTTGACTATTGTGAATAATGCTGTTATGAACATTCTTGTAAAATTCTTTTTTGTGAACATAGATTTCCTTTCTCTTTGGCCAATACCTAGTATTGGAATCACTGGGCCTTAGGGTAAGTAAATATTCAGTTTTATAAGAAATTTCCAGATCTTTTCCGAAAGTTGATATGCCATTTCACATCTTCATCAGCAATGTATGGGAGTTCCAATTGTTTCATATCTTCAACATTTGATGTT